CTCTGAATATTTAACTATTCTTACCAATTTTCCAACAAAATCTGCCTAGGCAAAGCATTTGTCTTTTCTTGTCAGAACTCTGCTTCACTGAACTTTCATGTGGGGATTTGCTATAGTTCTGACTGGAAGGCTGGATCATCACACATGATTACAAAATCACCCCGTGGTAGCCGCCACCTAATGGGGATAGCTGGGGGGAGGACTCCCATCCCTGTCCCTGGATGGAGTGGCCTGGTCTCCCATTCCTTCCTCTTATAATTAATAAGAAATGGGGGGGAAACCACACCTGTTTTGGAAATTGGGTGTTATTCAATGGACAGTATGCTCCAGCTCTGCCACTATTAAAATGACAGTATGGTTCACTCCCCCCTCCAAGGCTCATCCATGGGGATTAGTGGTGGGGAAAATATAATGGTCACCCCAAAAACATTCAGTAGCCCAGGAGTCAAGAACAATCAATATTCTTGGTCTGCAATGTTCTGAAATCTGGCCAATGGTAGCCTCCATTACTGCTGTATGCCCTAATGTAAGGGGTTTGAACTAGATGACAGGACCTTGAGATCCCCTGCTGACACCCCAGCTATGTGGGGTTGTATCACTGTGAAGGACAGGAATGGGCCAGAAGGGCACTAAGAGTTGTTTGTTTGTCCTCTTGGGTGTACAGGATGACAGGCATGTTCCACAGGCTCATTGTGAGCCATTACATCATACTCAAATTGCAGGGAGAAAACAAAATGGTGCTAGAATGTGGTTCTCTGTCCTGATATGGAATGGCCTGGGGTTTGATTGGGTGGGGCCGGAGTGGAATGGGAGTGCCTATGAAGTGTGTAAATGCAAGGGGAACCGGGGAATCTAATGGCTAAACGATCATTCATCTTCAAGGCTGGCAGAAGGGTGAGTGACACAAACAGCAGTCTGGGTGCCAGGGCGCCTCATGTTGCCATGTGTGTTCCTGTACACACTCACATTCAATGTGGCTCCTGACATAATATTTCATCACTGCCTCCTCTGACTGCCTGTTCATCAGCTCCTTGGCCCAGGGACTGTCACCTCCCCATAGGGAAGCATGGCAAGGAGCCTAGCAATCGTCAGGGGCTGCATGAGCCAGCACCCTCCTTTATAGTGATGACAATGAAACCGAAACTTCAGCTGGCAGAAGTTGACCATGCATGTTTGACAGCACACTTGGTTGTAGGCTGCATGAACCAGCAGCTTGTCTTCAGGATACAGTGTCAGCAGGTAAAGGAGAATATTCGTGGTCACCTGGCATGGGTGGAACAACAGCCATCAGGACTTTGAGCCCCTGTTCCAGATCACCTCCCAAGACAGACTACTGACCCAACAGCCATCCTTTGCCCCCTGGCCAGTCAGCCAACAGGCAGTTGAGGCCTGATACTGCAAAGAGCTGCACATCATGCATGCTGCTCGGAAACCTGACCACAAGGTCTGTGAAAATACCCTGGTGACTGCAGGTTGCAGTACACCCATAGCTCCTCTTGGGCAATGTGGGTGCAGCCCATGGCACCCACAATGCTGGGAAAGCAGAATAAGCAGAAGCAGAAGAAGCAGAGGCGACTGGATTTATACTTCGTCCTTCACTCGGAGTCTCAGAGTGGCTTACAAACTCCTTTCCCTTCCCCTCCCCACAACAGACACTCTGTGAGGTAGGTGGGGCTGAGAGAGCTCTGACAGAAACTGCTCTTTCAAGGACACCTCTGACAGAACTATGGCTTGCCCAAGGTCATCCAGCAGCTGCGAGTGAAGGAGTGGAGAATCAAACCCGGTTCTCCCAGGTTAGAGTCTGCACAACTTAACGACTACACCAAACTGGCACATATTCTCCTGGAGGTGGCCCAGCATGGCATCCAGAAAGCTGTGCAGGCAATGACTTGCTGGTAACTAGGACACTTCCAGTGGCCAGGATTCTGGGAAAGAGCATGATCTTCTGCAGGACAGGGGTCAGGAGCCTGGCCCAGGAGAGCTGGCCTGAGCTTCTCACATAGGGTTTGCATGGCCACCTTGTCCAGCTGGAAGCAATCCAGGGAGGTGCTGTCAGATAGCCGCAGTGCCCCGATGCAGGCCTGGTAACACTGAGAATGATGCTTTCTCTGCTGTTGCTATGCCATCCTAACATATAACATTGGCAGAAGATGGGCAAGTTGGACCCCTAGCAGGAGGGGAATGGCAGAAGGGGGCATCATCTCAGGGCAGCCTAGCTGGTGCCTGTGGAGAGAAGGGACCAGTGAACAATATGGCCCGAGGACTTTGGGCCCCTGTGTCCCAGCCCCCTGCTGGATCTCGCTTCACCTACTCCCTTTCCCAGCTGCTGAGTCCCAGGTCCACACGGCCTCTCCCTGATGCCCGGTGTCCATTGTGAAAACAGAGGGAGGCGGGGTGGGACCTGTGGTGCCAATGCTTCCCACAGTGCCTGGCCCCACCTCCACACTCCTGTGAGTGTGGCATGGCTGCACCAGCATCTGGCAGTGGCAACGGCCACTGGCAGCCAAAGTGGTCAAAGGCTGAAAAGGCGCTGCTGTATAGGCTGGAGATAGAGCATGTCAGTGTAGCCCTCGCCAGCCCACGCTGCTGTGCCTTATGGCACATGGTGGTGGAACAGGTCTCTGCCCTGGGACATGCTACCAGGATGAAGATGTCCACCCTGAACCAGCAGAATGATTAATTTGACCCTCATGGCCCAGGGTGCCCTGTCCAAGCAGGCTGCAGCAGAGGGCCTGCCAGGAACTGAGGTCATCATGTGGGGGGTGATGGTGCCCATTGTAGTGGGAGGTTTTGACCGGTGAGGGAGAAGGGTCCTGCTGCCACCTTATCCCTGAACCTTCCCTGAGCCCTCTTATCACTTGTTGACACCTGTCCTTCACCCTATAGGTGACTCTCTCAATAGGGATGCTTTCACGAGGCCGTCAGGACAGCCAAGCCCTGGAGGAGGAGGAAGGTCTGTGCCATCATGGCCACCCCATCTACCCCAGTGGGGTGTTTATCTGAGATCCTGGCACCCAGTGACACAGGCATCTGTTCCGTTATACTGAGACAGGAAGAAATGGAAGTCATTTGACTTGGGCTAAAGTGTAACAGTTAAACATTTTAGGTGCATACACAGTCTCAATGCCATGTCCAAGCACGGGCGTCTGGCAGTATCACAGGCTGAGCAGGTATGCCCAGTGGGTGTGAGAGTATCATTACTCTCCCACCACACATATGAAACAGTTAAAAGAAACTACTGATTGTTCCATATGAGAAAGACAGTCACTTTTCCCTGCAACCATAACATTTTAAAAGTCATTATTCCAGAATAATATACTGAGCAACTAAAAATAAGGGGGGTGATAACCACATTTATGCTTGAACCTCAGACAGAATAGGGAGAAAAAAATTATCATGATCTAAGTAAATGCTTGCCTCAGAACTTATGTAAACTTGTGAATTTTACACCTTATACTGAAATCTCCATTTTAGCACATAATTTTTAGAATGGTATATTAACAGGTTAATTAACAGGGAAGGTGGTGTGGTATAACTTCATCTCATCAGATCTCAGAAGCTAAGCAGGGCCGGTGCTTGGAAGGGAGACCCTCAAGGAAGACTGCAGAGGAAGCCAATGGCAAAACACTTCTGCTTCTCACTAGCCTTGAAAACCCCTTGCTGGGGTTTCCATAAGTCAACTGCAAGTTGTTGGCAATTTATAAACACACATTTTATATTATGCCTATATTTTTAAATATAGTCTAGTTTCCTATACAAATAGACAAGACTGCTATCACATGTGTGTATTGTGCTGTCAAGTTGCTTCCAACCTATGGTGATGCTATGAATTAATGACTTTCAAAACATTCTATCATTAACAGCTATTGTCTTTTCCAGTGACTCTAGGTGACCAAAGTACGATAGTTTCAATTTAGTCATTTTAGCTTCTAGAGAGTGTTCAGGCTTTCTTACACACTCAGGGAAATGCTTATCACCACTTTGGGGTCAGGAAGCAATTTTCTTCAGGCCAGTTTGGCCAGGGATCTTGGAGGGTTTTTTGCCATCTTCTAAGCATGGAGCAGGGGTCACTGGGGGTGTGAGGGGTAGTTACGAATTTCCAGCATTGTGCAATGGGTTGGACTAGATGACCCTGGAGGTCCCTTCCAACTCTATGATTTTGTTATTTGATCTAGAACCCAATTATTTGTCTTTTTGTCAACCCACGGTATCCATAAAACTCTCCACCACAAAGAAATCAACTTTCCTCACTGTCCAATTTCCCCACCTGTACATAGTTATGGGGAACAGTATGGTATGAATTAACTTTATCTTGGTTGCCAGTAATACATCCTTACTCTTAAGAATCTTTTCTAGCTCCTTCACAGCTACCTTTCTTGGTCTCAATCTCTTTCTGATTTCTTGGTTGCAGTCTCCCTTTTGGTTGATGATGGAACCAAGGAACAGAAAATCTTGAATTATTTCAATTTCTTCACTGAAAAGATGTATAATTCCCCAGTAGTCATTACTTTTGTTTTCTTGATGTTCAGCTTTAATCCCACTGTGGCACTTTTTGCTTTAGCCTTCATCAGGAGTTGTTCAAATCTTCATTATTTCCTGCCAGTGAGGTGGTGTCATTGGCATACCTCAAACTGTTAATGCTCCTTCCACCAATTTTCACTTCACCTTCATCTAAATCTAAACCAGTTTTGCTTACAATATGGTCTACATACAGACTGAACGATCAGGAAGATAAAATACATCATTGTCTGATGCCTTTGCCAGTTGGAAACCATTCTGTTTCTCCATATTCTACCCTAATAGTAGCCTCTTGTCCAGAGTACAGGTTGTGCATCAAAACAATCAGATGTTATGGAAAATCTATTTCTTTTAAAACCAACCACAGCTTTTCATGATCCACACAGTTAAAAAAAAATGCTGTCATATATTGACCGATTATTCCTAAGTAGAACCACACACTTATGAGTAAAAGAGCGCAAATACACACAAAAGAAACTTACCGCTAAATCAAGAGTACCAACATATACAATCATTGGATCTTTCAAATATGATTTTGCAAGTCGACGGACACCATCTGGCCATGTAGCACTGGTGGGAACAAAAGGAAAAAATGTTTTGAAAAACTTAAATCCAATTACCTCTCTTTCTGAGAGTCTTGTAGTTTCCACCCTGTACACCATTAAGATGAGAAGTTCAACCCCCAGGAAAGCGTTTCAAAGTACCTGAAGTATTCTAATACAAGCACTTTTACACAGGAGTCTTGCTAAGAAGATCTTTTTTTGGAGACTGGTGACCTTTAGATCTGCAACAGCACCCTATTTTCGCATGCCCTAAAACTTTGTTGTTTTGAGGCATCGAGGCCTGGATAAAATATCCAATTTGATATATAGCACACAGGTAGGAACTTCCCTTGATGCTCTCTGATGGGACTAGTCAACTGCCTGAATGCTCCAAGGAGAGAATTAACCAGTCTCCAAATCTATGGACACATGGAGGCTGCCTTGCACCTTCTCTTGTATTGTAGGTTCTAAACCTCAACCTTCTTCCAAATAATAGGCTCTATCTCTAAATTTCTTCCACTGCTGGAATCACAGGAACCTTCCCAGTCACTGGTTTGGTTCCTGAACCATCTTCCAACACCACCAGCTCTAGAGCCTTCAGAACAGCTAATGTAAGATTTCCTTCACATCCCCCCCCCCCCCAATACTCCATTTTTTCCTGCTTTGTTTTAGGCAGGTCTGTCTTATTGTCAGTCAGCAGTCATACCCAATTAACCACGAGCTTACCCAAACATTCCAGATTTATTGGGATCATGTACAAACTGTTGTATTGCATCGCTGTCATGTTTTCTGATATTTCACCTTCTGTCTCTATATGCTGAACAAGGTAATAAAGTTTACTTGTTCATTAAGTAATGGTCTCTCTTTGAATTCTTCCCCTTTGAATAAGATTACTGCATCAATTGGGACCTGAACATACACTAGAGTGGACAGCCCTTGGTTTTTACCTTGGAACAAGTGTAGCATTCTATATACATCGTAGAGGATGCTGACATGAGGTCTGATTTGGGTAGCAATGTCTTGGGAGACTGAAAGGTTTTCCCACTGGAGATTCCTCAGCCTTTACAAGCATTAACTAGTAAAAGCAGGGAAATCATTTTACCTCCAACTACCGCTATCGTGCACAATTGCTATACCTTTGCTAATGACATTTGATTACATCTCACTCTGTACTATCTGAATTTCATGGTTCTTTGTCTCCACTGTTTAGAAATATTTTTTCTTTCATAACTTTATATACTTTATATACATACTAGGGAGCAAAGCCCGTTGTGGATGAAGACAATGAGCCCTAGAAAGGTACGTAGGTAGGTAGGAAGGAAGGAAGGAGGAGGGGAGAGAGTGAAAGAAAGAAAGAGAGCAGGGAGAGAGAGAGGAAGAAAGAGAGAGAGAAAGGAAGGGAGGAAGAGGGGGGCGAGAGGGAGATAGGAAGGAAGGAAGAAAGAGGGTGGGAGAGTGAAAGAAAAAGAAAGAGGGGGAGAGAGAGAAAGATAGAATGGAAGGAAGAAAGGAAAGTGAAAGAAAAAAAGAAAGAGGGGGAGAGAGACAGGAAGGAAAGAAGCAAGGAAGGGGGAGAGTGAAAGAAAGAGGGGAAGAGAGAGAGGGAGAAAGGAAGGAAGGAAGGGGGGAGAGAGAGAGAGGAAGGAAGGAAGGAAGGAAGGAAGGAAGGAAGGATGGAAGGAAGGAAGGAAGGAAGGAAGGGGGAAAGC